ACTTATGTCAGTAAAACTAGCTCCCGCGCAATATCTTCATAAATTTTTGCTAAATTCTTATTTAGCACTAAAGGGTTTCCACAATCAGATGCTTGGCATATTAGTGGATCTATGGGAATTCTACCTAAGAGCTTAATTTTTAACTCTTCAGACATCTTTTTTGCACCTTCCTTGCCAAAGATATGTATCTTTGAGTCACTTTTAATAAAATAACTCATATTTTCTATGATACCAATAACTGGTACACTTAATGTTTTAAACATGTCATAAGCCTTGCGGGCATCAATTAAAGCCAGTTCCTGCGGTGTTGAAATTATAATTGCACCAGTTAAGTTAAACCTTTCTGCCAAGTTCAGATGCACATCCCCTGTTCCAGGTGGTGCATCAATTATCATATATTCTACGTCAGACCATTTACTTCCCCTCAGTAGATTATAAAGTGCTTTTGTAACCATAGGTCCACGCCATATTGCTGCCCGACCTTTATCAACAAAGTAACCAATAGAGATGTTTTGAAGTCCATATTTTTTTATAGGCACAGCTTTACCGTCCTGTATTTCTGGTTTTAATTTTTCAGCACCAAGCATCTGTGGAATCGAAGGACCGTATATATCTGCATCAACTAATGCAGTTTTATATTTTAACTTTGCCAAAGATAGAGCAATGTTAAGAGCAATTGTAGATTTCCCCACACCTCCCTTACCTGAAGCAACAACTATTATTTTTTTGACTCCTTCAATATTCAACTTTCGTTGTGTGAACTGTTTTTGGTCTGTAGAGTTCGTAGTTACAACAGTTACTTTTGTTACACCTAGTATTGACTCAACAACTTGTTCGCACTTTTTTCTCAACACCTCTGCTTTATTTGCCTGCATTTTATTGGAAAGCTCAAGTGCAAAGCCAACACGCCCTCCTTTAATAACAATTGCAGATATAATGCCAAGAGATACCACATCTTTACCGCTTTCTTGATCTACAACTTCTTTTAAGCTTTCCGTTATAACTTCTTTGCTAATATTCACACATTATCCTAACTTTCATTTAGTTATACAAGATGTAGCTAAAAAAATATAAGTTTTTGTTGATTAATGTATAACATTTTCGGTAGAATACATGTATGTAGTTATATAGATCATAAATGGCAATTAAAAAGTCACTTGAAAGTCCCAAAAATAAAGATAATGGAAAAGCTTTTCTAAGTAAAAGCAAGAGGGATTTTATAACTCTGACTACATGCGCTATGGCAGGTATTGGAACTGCAACTGCATTTTGGCCGTTGGTTAAATCAATGAGCCCTTCTGCTGAAATTTTAGCAATGTCTACGGTAGAAGTAAACTTATCCAGCATTCAAGAAGGTAAGGGAATAAAAGTCAAGTGGCAGGGTAAACCGGTTTTTATTCGCAAACGCACCAAGCAGGAGATTAAAGCCGCCAGAGATGTTGATATAAATACTTTAAGAGATCCTCAAACAGATGAGCAGAGAGTATGTAAAGGTAAGGATGAGTGGTTGATCATAAAGGGAGTATGTACACATCTCGGGTGCGTACCAATTGATCACGCTACAGAAGTAGGTAACGGTTGGTTTTGTCCTTGTCATGGTTCATATTATGATACGTCTGGTCGAGTCATTGGAGGCCCTGCGCCAAAAAATATGGATGTACCTGATTATTTTTTTTCAACCAATGACATTGTAGTAATTGGTAAAAAAGCTTAAAACATAGTTCACGCAATGGTATCGAATTAAGAAAAATACTGTTTTCTAAGTTTTTATAGTTAACATACAAAAACATAAAGTAATATACTATTAAGATTATATCATTAATTAATTTTCTGTTATAGTATATTGTAAAAAAATAGGTGTCATTTATGATAATTGAAATGTCTAAAGAAAATAGTGAAAGGCTTTTGTATGGTTCTAAATACCTTAACAAGGTTGGCAAAAACTATTTTTCTTCACAAAATAATAGTAATAATGATTATACAAGCTCGCGGAAAAATTGATTAATGCTCTTCTACTCACTCCGATCATCGTACCTACTCCCATAACACTATCACTGATTGGTTCGCTTATTTATGTTTGAATGCTATTAGAGCTCAAGATGATGATTCTATACTATCTCAAGCGACAAATGCTACAGTCAGATACTTAATTATATAGCTGCTTTTGCAGTTTTATCTACGCGTATCGTTCTAAATTTGGCAATTTCATTGCTACCATTTTTTACTTTTCAAGCTTTTAATAAAGGCATATTTAATAAAAAGCGATGTTCCAGATATCACAAATACCACAGATTCCAGGTCAAGCGCAACAAACAAACGTTGTTTTAGCCGATATTGAACAAAAGGAACATAATCGGAAGTTGATATCTTTAATGGTGATGGTGGAAAATAAGATACGAGAGATCAAGATTTTTAACATTTTATACTTTTCAAATTTGCAAAAATTTGTTTCCATTTTGTTTCTTATGTGTAATATTTCATTTGAGTTTCTCCTTGTTTATTAACTGGTAAACTACCACTTTCTTCTTGCTTCTCCAAATTTTGGTTTACAGAAGTTAGTTAGTTTAGGTATAATCTTTTGTTGTTTTTAATTAAAAAGCGATATATAGTGCAATAGGTAATTATTTATAGGTATGTCTAATATGAGTAACGAAGACGAATTTATGAAGCAGTATATGGAGACTTGTAAAGAACAAATAGAAAAGTTAGCTAAAGACCCCGAGTTGCTCAATCAAACTTTAAAGCCATTTATGCAAATCTCACAACAACTTATGGCTGGTGGTTTACTAGACGGAGCTGCACCTAATGCTATCATAGCAGATTCAGGTAGTATGGATGTTAACAAAATGATTGCTCAAATTGAAGGCATGATTAATTATATCAAAAGCTCTTACAAGGAAGTGATTAAGTCATATAGTATAAAAGATGATATGATCCAAAACCTTGATGAATCTAGTAGAAAGTTAAGATCATTAATTAAAAAGCTAATAGAAAAAATCTCAGAGAAATAAACATTAGGGCTCTTAATACCGTAATAGTATAGAGCCCCAAGTGAGCCCTGCACCTATTGCTATAAGCATTACGGTATTCCCATGCTTTACTTTTAATTCCTGTACTCCGCAGTCTAAAGCTAATGGAATTGATGCAGTTGAAGTATTTGCATGTTTCTCAACTACATTGATAACTTTTTCAATTGGAAAATCTAATTTTTTTGTTACTGATTCAATAATACGAATATTTGCTTGATGAGGAATAAACCAATCTACCTCACTGATTTTAAGATGATTATGCTCTAGTGTTTCTTCTATCACACTTGCTAATTTATCTACCGCATGTTTAAACATCTCTCTTCCGTTCATGCATATTTTTCCTGAATCAATAGTAGAAGATACACCACCACTTGTATATAGTATGTCTGTATTACCATCAGAGTGTAGGTTAGTGGATACTATACCTTTTATAAAATTTTCTGGCACCTCAGTTTTAATATTATATGCTGTAGATCCCATTATCACCGCACCAGCACCATCTCCAAATAATACACAAGTTGCTCTATCTTCCCAGTTAACAATTCTAGAAATTGTTTCAGCACCTATAACTAATGCATGTTTGATCTTTTCATTAGACTTTATTAGCGAATCAGCAACTGTCATTGCATATACGAATCCAGAACATGCGGCTTGAACATCAAAAGCAAACGCATTTTTACATACCAACTTGTTTTGCACAATTGTTGCACAACTAGGAAAAGTTTTATCTGGAGTTGTCGTTGCAACTATAATTAAATCAATATCGCCCACTGAAATATTAGCATTTGTGATAGCATTCTCTGCTGCTTTGACAGCTAGATCTGATGTTAATTCTCTTTCGCTAGCTATATGTCGCTGAGCAATACCAGTTCTTTGTCTGATCCATTCATCATTTGTGTCGACCATTAATGAAATTTCGTTGTTGGTCAGTATTTTTTCTGGTAAATAAGAACCAGTACTTAATATAAAGCTTTTATTCAATGCTATTTACTCCGTTAATTATTTTTTGGTTAAGATTTTCTTTTATAGAGTGTACTGCAAATTTAATAGCGTGAGCAAATGAAACAGCGTCGGAGTTTCCATGACTTTTAATAACAATGCCATTTAGACCTAAAAACATAGCTCCGCTCCTAACTTTAGGATTGAAAAGTATTAATATTTTATTCAACTTGGGTTTTAACAATACACCAAGCACTTTTCCAGTACGTGAATTAAATAACCCCTGTTTTATCAAATGGATAAAAGTACTCGCAGTAGCTTCAGCTGTCTTTAACATAACATTGCCAATAAAGCCGTCAGCAACAATTACATCTACACTACCTTCTAAAAATTCACTTGCTTCTATATAACCTGTGAAATTGACCCCCGGGGTGTTTTGAAGTAACTCAAAAGCCCCTCGTATTGCATCAGTGCCTTTTACTTCCTCTGTACCTATATTAAGTAAAGCTACTTCAGGGCTGTCAACTTTTAATGCAATCTTCGCNTGTA